GCAACTATCCAATTTCACTGCTTTCAAATCTTATATAATCTATAAGCTGCATGTAGCACCAAAGACAGTAAGAGAGGAAAGCGAAGAAAATACGGATGCTCTGGATTTTCCAATACCTTACTTAACAGGCTGAAACAGCACACGCTAAAAGAACAATGTAAGGGTAAAATCTGACAATTCTCTTGAGGTTTAAAGTTTCAGTAAAATTATACAATTAAGAACAATCTCATGATAAAAAAATAATCAACGCGGAAGCATAATGTGAATCTCAGGCTTTAGGCGCTTTGGCTCCATTCTGGGACCAAACCGCTCATCAGAAGCAGAGAGGGCGCGAGCTTCCTCCCTGGCCGCTAACGTGTGACACAGTCTGAGCCCGCCAGGACGTTCGCCCTGCAGCTTGCGGCACCTGTCCGTGTTCACTACGAGGAGGGAGGTCACAGAAAGTTGCGAGGACCACCCCGATGATGACAGCGGCTGGGCTCCTTTCCGTCTCTGATTTGAAAGAGCGCGCCCCTGAAAATGGACTCGGGGGTTCCTTGAATTACACTGGTTCCCACCTCCTGGAATCTGAAACCCGCAGGAGGGGGCTGCAGGTTTAGTCTTACAGAATGGGGGAATCAGAACTACGCAGTGTTACCACAGCTTATTCATTATGGAACGGAAAGTCTCATTTCGAGAGGGATTCGTGAAGTGGCATGACTGGGGCAGTGGTTTCGGAAGCAGAAGATCAGCACTGTGGTGACTCTTCAACCAGCCACCGCCAGGCCTTGCACGACTGGGCACGGTTGCTGGTGCACAGCAGCGCTCCTGTCTGCGAGCGGGCGAGCCGCTGACCTGGCTCAGGTAGGTTATTCCACTACTCTCTGTGCCTGAAACTTTATTCTGTATATAAAAGTAGGCTTTCTTTGGCATCATTTTCTTAGACTAAATCTATGGATTGATCAAGGCACTCTCAAACTCGGACACCGAGACAAGTGGAAAAGAGACCTTCCATTTCATGCAAAAGTCACATAAACAGGTGGGTTCTCTGTCACAGTTCCCATACTGAAGATCACCTGACTTTCCCCTTATTAAATGTCACTTCCTCAGGAAGAAGTCCCCACCCCCCTGAGAATATTATGCCCCCTGAGGGGTTACGCCCCTTGAACACTGTGCCTTTCCTTTGGGTGCACACCACAAGTTAGGTAACATGTGTACGGCTCTGTGTCAAACACTTGTCCCCCCTCCAGACTTCGGACGTCCTAAAGGTGGGGGTCACGTGGGCCTGGCTGACTGACCACCTGGGTCTTGCACCTAGAAGTATCTGGCACACAGAGGCGTTAAGTAAATACTTATTCGATGAACGTTTGAGAACAAACAGCCAGCCAATGGTGTCCATCAACATACCCGAGTAATAAAGGCTTAGACATCAAGTCCAGGAGTGTTAAGTCATCCAGTGGGATGTTCAGGACCTCACTCTGCCCTCGGCATGAAACTGAGCGAAGCTGCTCCGCGCAGGGGCAGTGAGAAAGGAAGGAGCTGTGCCCCGGCTCCTCCGTGTGCCACTGCACGGCCTGCGAGCACCCCGTCACGTGTGTGGTCTCCTGACTCAGAGTCTCCAGCGATTCACACAGAGCTCTCTGCGGTTCAGAACGAATGTTTTGAAGAGCTGTGGCAGGTATAAAACCTATTTATCCTGAAAGTTTGTATAAATGACTTACAGACTACCTGCGGGTTTTTTGGTGTTGCTGTGTTTAAGTATACTGCATAGTACTGCCTTCCAAACTACCTGGGACGCAGTCCTTTTTATTTTATTTTTTAATTTTCAGAGAAGTGAGCTAAATACTGATCCCAAATAAAATCTTCAGGCTTTGGAGAATACATAGCAGCTTTATTTTCTCAAAGGACACAGAAAGGCAATCTGAGAGCTTCTGCTGAAAGGGATTTCCCAGGGATGTTGGTAAACTGACCTACTCTTCTAAGGTTCCAAAGTAAACCTCTCAAACCTTTTCAGAGGTACATAACCTCCAGAATTCTGTGACAGTAAGAACAGGAGAGAGAGATTTAAATGTTAAACTCTAAAGCTCTCTGATGATTAATTTTTAAGGTACTGTGACTGTATGAGAATTCATAAACAGAAAGACTACAGGATGAATCAGAACCCCGGTAAATAATACAGTAATGGGAGTGTGCACGTCTGTGACAGCAGAAGCTACAAGCTGTGTTGCTATAATCTGTGTTCTTTCTTAGTAATCTGACTTAAACAATTTCAGAGATCATGTTTCAGAGATCATAAACTCCTCACGCTGTAGCTTAACAAGCTTATATCTAATCCTATGATTCCTAAATTTTAGACTAGCCAGGTCAAAGCCAATTAAAGTTTTATTGGAAAACCCTGAAATAAAGTGAGCAAAGTACTTGTTTTTGAGAAAGATTTTTGTTCCATCGCCCTAAGAAATGTGCTTGGAAATCTGGGTTTGCAGTAATATAGTATCTTAATATCTCTATCCAATTTTATGAATGTCCAAGTGTTTGAGACACACACAGTATTTTAATCTGACTCACATAATAATCTTGTGAAATAGGCAGGCCAAGGATTTTATAGATGAAGAACATGAAGTTCCAAAAGGTTTCATTTCCTGACTCTGGATCATAATTTAGCAAATGGAAGAACCAAGGTCGGAAGGGTTTCTGATGCCAAGATCACTGCTGTTTCTGAAGAGCTAGGCCACTCGGGCCCGTCTCAAGCTGCTGCTCACTTCTTATCCCTCACCCGGACGAGCAACGAGACAGCAACGGCCATAACTTCAAGTATGGGAAGACTACACAGCGTATCAGGAGGTATAAAATATTTCCCCAAACACTGGCCATGTCCCCAGATGGACTGAGGCCTTAGAAACCTTCTGAAATGATGGTTTCCTATTCTTGGCGTTGTGTCAAGCTTACATAAAGAGCACAACTTTGCATCAGAAAAGAACAATGAATATGTTTTCTTTTTATGAAGACCTGGGGACCTTCCTCACAAGCACAAGAATCACTAAGACCAGCTGCTCTGGAGTGTGGTGTGAGGTTCGCATCAAAACGTGGGATAAGACTCAAAGCATAAGCTTCCCAGTGCAGTAGGGCAGGGGCAATGGGATGAGGCCCCGAGATGAAAGGGATGCTGTTAACTACTGAATGTGGGAGGGGAAGGGCTTCTTTGTCTTTGACTTTCATTTTTTTTTTTTATGAGAGGCTCAGTTTTCTGAAAGGGGAAAGGGTTCATTTCCTTATTTAAAAATACCTTAAGTATCTGTGAATCCTCGAGTTTAACAGGCAAAAAAATAAATCCACATTAAGTCCTTTAACTTCCCAAATCTGGTTGTCTTATCTATAGTGTACACACTACGCTGTTACATTTGCACAACTTCCAAGTTAAAAACAGACAGGACTATCAAATAACCTCCACAGAATATAAGAGTCAAAGCAGGAGCAATCTATATAACAAGGCTAACTCTGGTCTTTGGTAGCAAACACACTTTCTTTTATAATCAGCCTTGTTCTTTTAAGCCAATGGTTTCAACCCTGGATACATACTAGAATGAGTTTTTAAAAATACAGGTTCCTCTAATCCTGCTCCCAACCAATGAAAACAGAATCTCTTTAGAGACTGGCTGGTTCTAGGAGTCAGCTGAATTGAAAACCTCTGGTCTAAGTGCTCAGTCATCCAGTTTCAAATGCCCCAGCATGATGTCATGTTCATATTTTCCTACGGAAGAAATATTCACAGTACAAGGGCTCTCAGCCACCACGCTTCAGAAACATCAGTTTTATAAAGATTTTATTTATTTATTTTTAGAGAAGGGAAGGGAGGGAGAAAGAAGAGAGGCGATATCAATGTGTGGTTGCTTCTCACACGACCCCTACTGGGGACCTGGCCCACAACCCAGGCATGTGCCCTAGACTGGGAATCAAACAGGCAACCCTTTGATTTGCAGGCTGGCACTCAATCCACTGAGCCACACCAGCCAGGGCACAAGCTGAAAGAGTTTCTTACTTGGATATAAGCAGGTATCCTTAAGTAAATCACAAATAATACACTTAATAAATACTAGTCAAATACCAACAACAACAAAAACAAAAAAAATTAACCCATAAAATAATTCTTAAAAAACTTTTTATAACTCCATGGAATTAGGTAATGCTCACTTAAGCATGACTTAAGGGTTAAACCATACTAAAAAAAACTTTATCTTCCACTGAACAGTAGCCAATCTCTTAAAACATTTGATTTTTAGAATTTTCCCATAGATACAAGTTAGAAAAGACAAATAAAAAAACCAGAACTACAAGACAGCCTATTACACAGGTACATGAAATAAGTTCAAAGGGGAGTTTCCACTGCTCAGAGGACAAAGGACTTCTCAGAAACATTACTGCAATCGTATTGCTCACTTCTTACTCAACCTGGTACCGCTGAAAAGGAGGTTGCTGTGTTCCCACCTTAACTGCCTGCCTGCTGGTCCCGTGACAGCTGGAGTCAACAGAGATAAGTCTGGCTGCTGGAAGAACTGAAATGCCGAGCTGCTGTATTTCTAAACTCGCTCTGAAACTCTTCCCTATTATCTGATTCTGTGAATTTTGCAACAGCTGCTTATTAGTTAAAGCTGGAGCATGAGTGACTAAACCCAGTCTACGTTGTATGCTTGAGCTAACAGAAAAACAAAAACAAGTTCCTTTGAATTTTTAGCATTTTTATAAAGATCTCCTCACATTCTAAGGAGGCTTAGATTAAAAAGTTTGAGACCAAAAGATGCAGGAAAATCTAAGATAGATGCAACTCCCTAACTACCTAGGTGGACTAACTGGGAAAATATTTAAGATTCCTGTTCTATGAACTTCCTGATTAAGAAGGAATTAACAGCTGCTACAGTAAAAAAGAAGGAAATACTAAAGGTTAGAAAAGAATTTTGACTTTGTCTTTTTATTTCTAGGTCAGAGAGCCACAATCAAATGCAGCCAGGGGAGTGGAAAAAACTTACGTGATTTATCATGGACTGAACAGCCTTTACATAATGGTTTAGTTCCCGATCCATCATAACGAATTCAACCATCGCCTTATCCATGCTGTATTCACTACTCACTTCGGCTGAAAGAAAGAAAAAAGCAATTATTATTTTCCATTTAAAATGCCCTATCTGGAAAAAGCTGTACCCAACATAACATCTATCAGTCATGCTCTAAGTGATTTTTAAAGGTATCACATGTTTTTTAAAACTTCCTCAACATGTGTGTACTTCATTCAAAATGCTAAGAACATACCCTGTTGAAAAAGGCTCAAAGGGGACTTCCGGCCAAGATGGAGGCACAGGTAGACACACTGTGCCTCCTTGCACAATGAAAATTAAGGACAACAAAAATTTAGAAACAAAAAAACAACCAGATCTGACAGAAAATTGAACTGTACGGAAGTCTGACAACCATTCATCCAGACTGGTGGGGGGGTGGGGGAGTCGGCAGCCGGCGGAGAGGGGTCTCGGCAGGAAACAGTGGTGGTTGGTGGTCCCAGGCACGCAGGCAGTGGCTGGCAGACCCCGGGAGCGGGTGGCAACAGGCAGACCCAGTGAGGCGCACTAGGCCGCTGGCTGACCACAGACACACATTTGCACACGGATAAACCAGGCGAATCGGGGAGCAAGAGAGACCGCGCAACCCAGGGCCCCAGGGCCCCAGCACCGGGAAATAAAGCCTAAAAGCACTGATTGAAAACATTTGTGGGGTTTGAGGTGCCGGTAGAGACTCCCAGACTCACGGTTGAATTTGTTGGAGAGACCCACAGGGTCCTGGAATGTACACAAGCCCACCCACCCGGGAACCAGCACCAGAAGGGCCCAATTTGCTGGTGGGAATCGGCAGAAGGGACTGAAATCGGTGAGCAGAGCAAGCGCCATAGTTCCCTCTCTGACCCCGCCCCCACATACAGCATCACAACCCAGCAACTGGGTTGCCCCGCCCTGGTGAACACTTAAGGCTCTGTCCCTCACTACATAACAGGTGCAACCAGACAAAAAAAAAAAAAAAAGACTCAAACAGAAGAACAGATCAAAGCCCTAGAGCCAGTACATCTAAGCGACCAAGAGTCAGCCAACCTATTAGATGCACAGTTCAAAGCACTGGTGATCAGGATGTTCCCAGAACTGGTTGATTCTGGTGGCAAATTAGATGAAAAAATGAAGGCTATAGTAAGTGAAATGAAGAAAAATGCACAGGGAACCAATAGTGATGGGAAGAAAACTGGGACTCAAATCAATGGAGTGGACCAGAAGGAAGACAGGAACAACCAAACAGAAAAGAATGAAGAAACAAGAATTCAAAAAAATGAGGAGAGGCTTAGGAACCTCCAGGACATCTTTAAATGTTCCAACATCTGAATTATAGAGGTACCAGAAGGGGAAGAGGAAGAGCAACAAGTGCAAAAGTTATTTAAACAAATAATAAAGGACAATTTCCCCAATCTGGCAAAGGAAATAGACTTCTGGGAAGTCCAGGAAGCTCAGAGAGTCCCAAAGAAGTTGGACCAAAGGAGGAACACACCAAGGTACATCATAATTACATTACCCAAGACTAAAATGAAGGAGAGAATTCTAGAAGCAGCAAGAGATAAGGGGACAGTCACCTACAAAGGAGTTCCCATCAGACTGTCAGCTGATTTCTCAAAAGAGACCTTACAGGCAAGAAGGGGCTGGAAAGAAGTATTCCAAATCATGAAAGGCAAGGACCTACATCCAAGATTGCTCTATCTAGCAAAGCTTTCATTTAGAATGGAAGGGCAGATAAAGTGCTTCTCAGAAAAGGTCAAGTTAAAGGAGTTCATCATCACCAAGCCCTTATTATATGAAATGTTAAAGGGACTTACCTAAGAAACAGAAGATTAAAAATATGAACAGTGAAATGACAGCAAACTCACAGTTATTAACAACCACACCTAAAACAAAAGCAAACTAAGCAAACAACTAGAACAGGAACAGAACCACAGAAATGGAGATCACATGGAGGGTTAGCAACAGGGGAGTGGAAGGAGGAGAGAGGGGGAAGAGGTACAGAGAACAAGTAGCATACACGGTAAGTAGAAAATAGACAGGGGGAGGGCAACAATAGTATGAGAAATGTAGAAGCTAAAGAACACATGGACATGAACTAAAGGGGGAAATGTGGGTGGGAGGGGGTGTGCAGGGTGGAGGGGAATGAAGGGGGGAATGGGACAACTGTAATAGCATAATCAATAAAATATATTTTAAAAACTTTTTTAAAAAAGGCTCAAAGGCAGAAAGATGGACTCAAACTCAGGAGAGCTCTAGTCTCTGCCACTGGCTTGTATGGTCTTTAATCAGTTACCACTCTTCTCCCACCTCAGTTCCCTCACCCGCTGAAGTGCCCGGGTCATCTACCTGCACATGGACCTCACCGGGCTGTTAAGGGCCAAATAAGGAAGATTTACACTTCTACTAACAGTAGGTTGGGTTGTAAGAACCAATCCTCCTATTGAAGACAGCTAAAAAAATTGGGGGAAAAAAATCTTAAAAACAAGAGTCACAAGATGGTAAAACACAACCAGAGCAAAATCTAGAGGGGGAAGATGTGAAAGAAAAGCAGAGCCCGGAACAAAGTCACACAGTCAGCTAGGTTCCCTTCCTCGGGATGAGATGGACCAGGAGTACTCCCAGCCTGCCTCCCAGCTGTGGGAGGTTGGCCTTGGCCACTGAACGGAACAGAAGGAAGAAGGAGAGAAAGCAAATAACCTGTATCTGAAAGACTGTGGCCACGAGCCAGCCCCCCCAGATCTGCGGCCTGGTTCCCCCCACCTGAGTGGTCCTGGGAACCTAAGAACTCCCCACCGGTGTGGTGTGGGGCAGTCTCAAAGTGCAAGTGCCCAGGGACACTCCCCTCTGGAGAAGACACTTCCATCCTGGCCTCAAAGAACCCCAACAAATAATTATTAGGGATGATGGGCAGATTATGGGGTGGGGCCGGAGAGCTCAGGTTTGGCGGGGGAGGCTACCCTAAAAAAAAAATCATATGAGAACAAGCCACCAAGAGTAAGGATCGGCAGAAACAGATCCACAAATGTTTCAGATGTTGGGGTTATCAGTCAGAATATGAAACTACTATGCTTGCCGTGTTTAAAAAGTTAAAATACCCTCAGGGAACAGGAGTTTGGAAAAGTGAGATGAGTTTCTTGAAAGTGTTTTAACATTGTTTCCTTAAACTCTGAACACAATGGAAAAGAGAGAGAACACAGGATCATAAAATTGTTAACGTTAAAAAAGCTGAATGAAAGGAAAACAGAGCTGACATGTAACACACTTGGAAATGCAGGTAGTCAAAGGCTCTATTCCAATGGCAGCATTTCTTGTCTACTCCGAAGAACATGGCAGGTCATCCCAAAGTCATGAAATAATGTAAAATCCACTTACATCTGGCTTCTTAAAATGACTTTCCTGGGCTTTAAAATCAGTCTTTAATTTTACAACAGTTACTTACAAACACATTCCATAAAGTGTCAGAGTTAACCTGCTTCTGGGAGAATACCTCTTGTCTTTCAGCACCTAGACTTTGATATAATATTGACAACCTCCTACTGGGATCACACAGGTTGATTTTTGAAAGCACTTAGAACTGTGCCTTTAACAAGAAAAATGCTACGAAAAGTTTTGCAAAGGAAAATAATAGGATGACGGTTCTCACTATCGGAGTCAGACAGCAAAATTTCAAGACCATGGCCACGGAGCGCTGCCCTGTAAAGGAGAAAGTGAGCAATGGCTGGGTCAAGTGCAACGGCCCGTAGCCCAAGGGAGAGCCCTCGGAGGCTGACTGCGGCTTCCAGGCCGAGGCTCCGGGGCCCCGGGATGCCTGGGCGAGCTGAAGAGCCTACCTGACGAGTGAGCGGTGCAGCCTGAGGCAGCACAGGGAAAACACCAGAAGAGATCAGGTAGCCAGTCCTAAAAATAACCGAGGATGACACCGCACCTGGAAGTGACACCCAGTCAGATGACTGCAGGCTGAAGTCGGAGTCTGGTCCGCTGCATAGAGACCAGAGGCCGTAGGCGAGAGCTAGCAGCGACCCCCTCGCGGTGCCAGGAAGACAGGCGATGAGAATGCCCATACCGAGTTGCAACCCACCTCCACCATCTTAAGATTATTTTTGTGACTCTTTTTGTTCTTCTTGTGAACCCTTACTTCCCTTATGACGGCAAAAATAACCTCTTTTATAAAATGCTATTTGGGTCCATGTTTCAGAAACACTAGGCTAGGGAAGACATAAGAGAATCTGTGTCTTCTACTAAAGAATTAAGGTAGGAAAAGAACAGCATAGTGTTGCACAAAAATGGCCAAGAGGCCAAATAAATCTCCACCGAATTCGAGAATTCAGGAGGGAAAAGGGATTGAACAAATAAACAGGGAGCCGGCTGATGGGCTGATGACCAGAAAGGGGCTGGGGAACAGGGCAGGTGTGGAGGGCCTGACCAGCCAGCCGGAGGGCCCCTTTGTTCCACAGTCAGTCTAAACCCCACCGTCAAAATCCCCGCCGCCCCCCCCACAGGGAAAGCCCTTCCAAAGCATCCACGCCAACCAATCGTTGCCCCGAACACCCACCCTTCAGGCGCTGAGCTCACCTGCCACCTGCTTTTCAACGGTGTCAGCCTGGAAGGATCTCACTTAACTTGTCACAACTATACTTGATACTTGGCACTTGGAACCATAAACAATCTTGTCTTTTTATATGCATTCATCTCCCTTCTCCAAACAGATTTCAATCCATTACGGGCAAGATTGATGCCTTAGTGTTCTTGGGATCCAGCAAAGAATTACAAGCAACTCTTTCTTCAGTATTCTTTATATGGCCATTATTTAATAAAATTTGAAATTAAAGTTTCACCGGCTATAAACTGTCCTGCCTCGGATAGTCGATTGAATTAAAATATAAAGACTTGCTATAAATTCATTTGCCTATTATATTTCCATTGTGATTTTTTCCCATAGAAGGAGGCCAGCATCAGTAAGGTGGTGGGAGATGGAAGCAGAGAAGGGGGGAGAGAAGGAAGGAAGAGAATCATACAAAAGATGTTGAAACTCACAGAATGGCAGTCC